AGGCGCACCATACAGACATGATTCAATGGGCCAAGTTTTATTTAAGCTCAAATTACTTGGAGGAGAGAAAATACAATACATGCATTATTTAAAACAAGAGAGGGAGCGTTTCCATTCCAGTTTCACTAAAGGAATCGTTTGTGCGTGAATGATGTAATTTGAAGCACAAATGACCACACATCCTGCGGGCAGGGCAATTTGTTTTTCCTTCAGCTATTGTGGCAACAGAAGTAATCTATACCAAGAAATGGCAAACAAGCAATAAGCATTGTAGTTAGATTTAATTGAAATAGCAATTGCCTGACGTGAATTTTCAAGATCTGATCTGCATATCAATTTTACGAAATGCACTTTTTTGATATGAACTAAGAGAAGAGTTCGTTTTTCCAGTAGTAAAAATGTTTGTAAATAATAAGTTGTAAATTACTATTTTCTAAAGAAAGTATTTGTGGGAATAATTACATATAGTCAAAGATAAAGAGTACAGTATAGAATTGCAGTTCTATCTATTCTTTGATACAGTTAACTAGCGAGCCCATAATTAATAATACAGTACCTCTACGGCGCGGCCGCCAGTTACCGTATCCAAGCAAGCAAGTATAGCGTGACTCACCTGCCGCGTTGCTAGGTTTCGGTTCACTGTGCTGTTTTGTGCAATTTACAGGTACTCTACATAATCGGTGAAGTTTATGAGGACATTCGATCTACCCAGCGTAGTATATTGATTAAATTATAGATGTACGGAAATCTAAATTCGGAATAACGTATATTTTAAGTTAGCCTAACCCGCTATCACTCAATTTAGGCTTGTGCACATAGCTATTTTTTTGTCACCGCATGGGAGGAATGTTCAGTGGTACCTCATGGTTTGTTAGCATCTGCCTCGTGGTTAGTGAGCCTAGGTGTTGGAGCTCAGTAAATCGCATGTGCTTTGAAAAAAAACGAAGTCATTCAATGGTGGTGACAATAAGTGATTTTTAGATTTGATGATTTTGTTAGTTTCAGTTTACAGTTTTTGTTTAAAAAAAAACGTATACTGAAATCTGCTATTACTGTACTGTTATTAGAGCCCGTGATGTGCTTGCTGTCTGGTGGCGCTGTTTATCCTATCACTTATCGCCCAGTCCATGCCATATATTTAACAGTTCCTCTTTTAATTTTTGGTCGTATTTGTTGTATTTTTTTATTGGGTAGAATTAAAGATTAGTATTTATTAAATCTATTTACTGTGTTTGGTGTTGATATACTGAAGTCGGTAACAAAAGATGAACATGTGTTCAATAAAGTGAAGGAATACTGCATGTAGTCTTGAATGTAGTCAATATAATTCATTATTTATTTAATTTGAAAATGTTAGTAATACTGTATATTATGATACAGTTTATTGCCCTCCATTTAAAGAAAATAAACGTTGAACAAAAACAAAACACTACTGTATACCAACTCAATATCATGGCTAAAGTATGTAACCATACATACACATCAATAAAGGCTTTTGATTTTCCAAAAAAAACCAGAAATATGAATGATTTTTATCTAATACTGTAGAATATTATTTCCAGTAACCTAATATTATTATTTAACATCTTATTAACAAACTTTTTTTGTTTTTGGCACAGTGACAACTTGGGCCCACGCAATAATATGAATGGTATTAGGAAATTTGATTGATGTTCTATTTATTAATGACTGCAAATGCGACGCCTGTTGTGACTCGTTCCATTACTTTAGTGTAGTTTGGTTTATTTCTGAACCTAAACAGAGAACTAGCAACTTAAAGGCTTTATTAATGCTCAATTTTTCAGAAAGAATTGTGGCAACAGTTTTGATAATTTAGGAAAGCATAAATGCTACAATACATTTTCTCTCAAGCAACAGTAGTTTACGCAGCAGCCAAATTACTAACTACACAATAAAGTTGATAATTGCATACTCAGTCCAAAATTGATTGAAGTAAAACTCATTAGTATCAAAGTAGAGTATTTTCATTTAAAATGTAGACAACATTTTACAGAGAAAACTTCCCTTTGTTATTTGAGGAAAATCATACATAAATTTGTATATTTTAAACATTTTATGTAGGTTTGAAACACCCCTTTGTGTTCGTTGTTAAACCGGAGCATTTTGAATATGCTCAGTGGGTAGAAAATTAATGTTGAAAACAATGCACTTGGTCGTAAGGCTTTTGCAGCTGGTTCAAGAACAATACAGCTAATCAGTAGTAGGTTATAAAATACTTATATATTAATGTCAAGGAAAAATATCCTAAAATTCTGCACTGCTAATCATCTCTTAATGATTTAATCTTTAACCCAGAAAAGATGACCTACTTATAGCTACTATTCTTAAGTTGTAATGTGGTGAGAACTGTACACCAGTTAATAAAATTCATTTCAATAACCATGTCTTCAAATATCTGTAGTTAGTACAAAATTTCCGTGGCACCAACTAATTTTCCTTGAGTGCAAAATACCTGTGTGGGAAAGTATAATACATACTCCAATTATTGAAATGCACGCCATCGTGTTAGGATCATTCTTACTCTACTGATCAAAGCTACCTACAAAAAACAAAGAAAGCTCTGTTGATGATTTGAGCCCATTGTTAAGCAATGGGTGTAGTCTAGCTCAGCCAAAGCTAGACTACGAAATTGAGGGTCTACTGACCTACCCATTTTTTTGGATTTTCCCAAAACGTGGCCAACACAAGAATTTTTTATTTTTTGCTAATAACAGCTGTGGAATGTTAAAATATGGGACCGGATAAAGATATACAGGCCACTTTTCTTAGTTTTGACAAGGGTTAATCTGACAAGTACGGTATGAGTTGTATAAGGACAATCTAACCAAAAATTCTGATGGAAAAATTATCTGTGCTGGATGTTAGACCTATTTATTTTTGACATTATAAATTTCCGTAATATTATTTCCATACATCCGTCCGTAGGCAAAATTTCTGTAACTCAAGCACGGAAGTTCCGTAGTAACTGAGATCTGCTGTGCACTTGATGTTAAACTATATATCTGAATCATTGGTTGTATTGTTTCTGTTGGGAAGTGTGCCATACCATGGCCATATGATCTTTAGTATATTTTGAGTTCAGGTTTCCTCCATGATAACTAGGCAAGACCAGTTTAGCCTTGAACTAATAATGGATATTCATTGTTCAACCCTTAAGTAGTTTTATGGTACAATAGATTATTGATAACGGGATACCATTATAAATTTAAGGCATTAAGGCGAAGTAGTTTATGCTGGTACATTTTGTTAATATATTTATATACTTTGATATCCTCATTTTATTGTGTTTAATTGTATGTTTATGAAGGGAATAATTGTATTATTATTTTTATCTTAGTAATAATAAGATATTAATGAATTTATTGTTACTATTTTATATTTTTTTTTATATAAAAATACGTCACAACACAAAGTCCCAATAATCATCAACATCATCCTCCTTTTTTTCTAAAAAATAATGGTATTCTTTAAAAGCAAGCCAAACAATGAAACTGGTTTATATTAAAGCGATAATTCAAGTTACTTGGTTATTTTAACCAGGATACTTTAGATAGTGTGATTCCTTTGTGGAGTGTGTTATTACCTTATACAGTATGGCATTGTTGACCAATGAAAAAGGAGTCACTTCAGCCATGCTCCAATCCTGAATTGAAAACTGTCACATGGTCTCAACTCAATTAGCATTTTCAGAATTGTGCTGAACTATTTAATATGCATACAGTATGTTGTACTTTATATATA